GCCACTTCTCCCCCCCCTTTTTGATGACTGGCTGCTCTGGCACCATGTGCCAGCCCAGGCCCTGCACTCCTGTTGCCCTGCCCTGGGGCACGCCTGCCCACCCACTCGCTGCTCACTGCTTCTCGTTGCTGCTGCTGGTGCTGTTGCTGCTGCCACCCCCGTGCCCGCCCACTAGCTGATTCCACTGAGTGCTATAATGAAACTGGCTGAGTGCTCAGTGGAATCGGGTATGAATTTTGAATGAGTGCTATAGCGAAATAGTGCTAAGTAAAACCGCGTTAAGCGGGGGTTGCCTGTATTGTAACAAGTTATGTAGAGAAGTTATGGAACCTCCATCCCTAGAAACTTTCCAAATCAGATTGGACAGACACTTGGCTGGGGTAGATTAGTCGGGGGTTATCCTGCCTTGAGCAGGAGACTGGATTAGATGACCTCATGAGATTCCTTCCAGCCCTAATTTCTTATGATCCTTTTTGAGAACTTTGAAACTCTGGATGTACTAGAAAGGCTCATTGGTCTGTGAGGATCTGAAATACCTTCTTCCATCTTCTCACCACGTTTGTGTGTTTTACATGTGCATGGCCACAATACCCACTTCGGTGTCTGGTATCTGATCCCATCCCAGCTCACCAGACATGCCTGAGTTCACTTGGGCAGTGAAAGCAATGTAGTAATATTAGTGTGGCTCTATCTAGAGCTAATTAGCATTATATTCTGCTTGGGGCAATGTAGCTTTATTGCTTCCAATACCCAAGTTACCTCATCACCACCCTAGGTTTGCAACTTGTCCTGGCCTTATCGACCACAGTCAAAGTTGAGGCTTGTGGTATTCATTCAAGCATTGGATTAAGTCTCTAAACAAATGTTGCATGAAGAGACTTTTTAATGACATATTTGGTGTACAGAATGACTAGGAGAGTATACAACAGGAACCATGCACATTATTTTGCTGTAGTAGAAATGTGCAGTCATTGATTTTTTAGGGTTTTTTTTATTGCAAATTAAAACCATGTTTACCTTTTTATTGTCTTCTGTTGTTAAATTTGTAGAGCATAACAAATTAGATGTGACAACTTTATAGCCTTTTCATTGGGGGAAAAATATTACTGTTCAACTGTCTGGACTCTTTTCATGTACTGTTTATTTCAATCATTCATATGGTACCTAGCATCACAATCTTACTGGTTTTACATGGTAAAAACATTTACATACACAGGCCTGTCTGCCCTGTTTTCCAGGTCAACATCTCAAATTTTGTCTTCCTCATGTGTGCATTCTAATGAGCTGCAGAATGAAATTGATAACCCTGGATGCATCTTACACCACTTTCTGCATATGTCCAGCCTTGGATTTCCAAGCATTTCCAATAGTAGTGAAAGCTCTCCACCTGCTATATGATTTGGAATATGCTGTCAGTGAATAAATTAAGCTTCTGCTCTGAAGCTTGAGACTGGGTTGTCCTTATCTTAGTCTATATAGAGTTGCTATGAATACTAATACTAAATCTAATAAAGGTATTTGACCCTGCTTAACTTTGTATGACGTGTTTGTAAATGGAAAGTAATTATTCTGCTAAACCTTTTTTTTTCTTTTCTTTAGGCACAAGGAAAGTGAACCTTACATCCTGGCATCATAACAAAGGCCAGGCAAACTTATCGAATATGACATTCATTGATGGAAGGCTAATAGTCAATCAAGACGGGTTTTACTACGTTTATGCCAACATTTGTTTCAGACACCATGAAACTTCAGGAAACCTAACTAGAAAAGGGCTTCAACTGATGGTGTACATAACTAAAGCAAACTTTAAGACAAAGCGTGCTGATGTTCTTATGAAGGGAGGAAGCACCAAATATTGGTCAGGAAATTCAGAATTTCATTTTTATTCTGTAAATGTAGGAGGATTTTTTAAATTTAAGTTTGGCGAAGTAATAGGTATCCAGGTATCAAACCCATCATTACTGGATTCATCTCAAGAAGCAACTTATTTTGGTGCCTTCAAAGTCACAGAGATAGATTGAGTTGTTGCAAGATTTCATGTCTCAATGTATGTTTTCTATGGCTTTTTACTTAAAAAAAAAAAGAAAAAGAAAAAAAAGGGTTCTTGACACTTATATTTTGGTCAGAGACTACTGGGAGATGTAACAAAATCTTTTGGGGCCCAGTTGCTCCTGTGTAACCATTGGCAATGTATTGTTCATCTGATCAGGTTTTGACCTTCAGTGACTCTAGTCACTGCAGATACATAAGAAGATAAGAATTGCCATTGACTAGGATGGACCATAGGTCCATCTTGCCCAGCATCCTGTGTCACAGTGGCAGAATGGATGCTGAAAGGGTATCACCATGTTTTTTTCCTGCTGTTCCTTTCTCACTTGCCACCCTCAGCATTTAATATCTAGGATGTTCAAATTTAGAAGCTGTATCCCTAACTTCCATGCTCAATAGTTACAGTGCAAGCAAATTACACAGCAGGCCTGAGGCTGGTGTGTACCAGTTTAACACCTCTGTAACATCGTTGACTTCAATGGAGTTAGGATGATATTACAGCAAAATCAGAATCAGGCCTGATATTTTTATGGTTTTGAACTGCTATTGGCAAATTCTGCCCCAGCTTTTACACCCCATGCTACTCTGTTGATGTCAGTGCAGATGTAAGAGAGGACAGGAATTGGCCCATCAAATTTGCAAGAGGCTCAGTTCCGCAAGGGATTCAGCATTCTGGCCCTGATCCAGCAAAGCAGTTAACCATGTGACCAGAAGCAGATCTTGGATTTTGAAAAAAAAGAGGTGGGGAAGAAGGGAATGTGGTGGAGAGCTCACTGGCACCAGGTGTGACTGCCTGCAATGGATGGATCACTGTCTGTGTAGTAGAAAGTCAAAGGGTGGTGTGATTGCAGCTCCCCCCCGCCCACACAAACACACACTTTCTTCTTGATCTATCTCTGTATGTAACTAGCCCTATTGAAGGCAATGGGATCACTCAGATGGTTAATTAAATATATGTTGACTTGCTGGGCTGGATGAAGGCTAGAGTGTTCAGTGCTTTGGCAGCATGAGCTTTAGATTTTAAGTTAATACCAGTGTGATGATCTAAACAGATACTACGTGTGGACTTTTCAGAAGGGCTGTATAGGGGTTCTGGGTTTACAGTTATAGAGAGCTAACTGCAAGTCTATTTTAGTAGCATTGCACATGTGTGTACAAAACCAGAATTCTGATATGTTGAATCCCTTTGAAGTGTTACATTATGCTAGAATCTGCAAATACTTCTTTTTAAAGCAAAGTATGTATTTTTGTATTCTGTAATATCTAAAGTTATATTTCAGATGTAAATTATATTTGTCCTATAGTATTTGATACAAAATATTTAAAAAACCTCCTGTTGTTTGTATATTTTAATGTTTTTAATATACAGACATGTTTAACTGGTGCACTTTGATCCCAATGGGAAAAATTGCAGCTAAAAAAGATTGTTTGCAATTAGCAAATGTAATATATTTCTTTTGTTCTTTTTAACTTAATAGATTGCTGTTAAACTTGTCAGTATTAAGAAAGCTAAAACCAAAATAATAAATAATTGGATCAGAATTTGGTCAACAGGTTCCTTTCAAACATACAAGGTAAATGACTTTACAAAGCTGGCATTACTTAAGGATACCTATGGGGCCACATGAATCTGTCAAGAGTATTTATAGTGTACTCCACTTATATGCTTGCCAGACAAGTGCATAATTTGCTTAACTGCATAATACAATGCCAGTCCCAATGTGTCGCCTGTTGCTTATATTTGAACAAATACTGATGATCTGTATATCAGTTAAGTGCATATCTGCTTAAGTGCATAGCATCTTTCAGCCACTTTCTTTAACTTAATTGTACTCCATTTAACTGCACCAGACACAGGGAAACAGCTGTTAAAGCACTGCTATTAGCAGCTTAGAAACCAACTGGATCTCATCCCATCCAAGATTTCTAATCCAAGCCCTGAAGAAGCTAGTGCGTTTGAAGGCTGCTAATAGCCAAGTGCTGACACTGCTGTAAGCAGGGCTTGTTGGCACTTTGTTAACCTCCCAAACTGATTAATCAACCCTATCTTCAAGGCTTTTAATATAACCCTGACACTTGGGTACTGACAGTGAGGGGAAATCATCAGTTTTGGGGTGGTTGGTACCATAACAGGGTGTACTTAACCAGCCTTGTTTATGTTGAGATTAGAAAAATACATATTCCAGGTAAGTACATATGGAAGTCCCAAAGCTGTGCACTTAAACAGAGTAGGCTGTATGTAATTATTGAATGGGCATTTATTTCCTACAATAGATGCTGCAAATTGTAAATTCTGTAAAATAATTATTGTATCATAACTGTTTTTTATAAAATAAATCCTCAGAGGCTTATTTACTAAGAAACCAAGTTGAATTCACTAGCAGTTATTTTATACTGTATAATAAACTTTTTTTACAAAATACATTTCCAAGAAATAAAAAGAACTGTGGCTTTTTCTTGTCCCACTTCCTTTCACTTTTGTGCTTTTATAACCCTTTTGTTCACCATAGTAGAGTTTGCAGCCCACTTATAGCATATCTCATTTTTTGGAAGATATATCAATTTATTATTATTTAGAGACAGATTGTATCTGTTGGAGTTTATATTATAGGCTCTTGATTTTGCTTGAAAATTCTGGAATCCCCTATAAAAATAATCAAAATATAAACTTTAAAGGGAAAAGAGATTAAATGATTAAAATCTGCTTTTGCTTACACTGAAATAATGCAAAACCTCTCATCTATTTAGAATGGATATCGGCAACAAAATCAAGTAAGGATAAATACCAACTAAAGTAGCAAATCTTAAGTGTTTTTAGGGCAAAGGGGATGAAACTCGCATTTTGTGTTAGTCTAAGACACCCTGTGGATGAATATTAGAAATGTTAGAATGAAATGCTAATGCTCAAAACATTGGCAGTAGTAGGGTTATTATCTCTGCCAACTTGAAAAAAAACAATACCATCTCTTCTTGAGAGGATGGGTAGTAAACCCTCACATTCCAAAACCTGCCATGGTTTTATGGAGAAGTACAGACAATATATGGGCATTACATGAAGATCAGCTTATATTCTTCAGTGTAAGAGCAGAACATTTTGATTCCTCTGTCCAGCTAGGCCTACCCCGCTTTTGGATTTGCCCTTAGGTTTGCACGTGCTTTTGCTGACTCATTTGCTTTCTTCCAGTACTCAGCCTATTGGAGTTATCATCTTTCTTTATTGCACACTCAATTAATATTAATTTGGTTGGACAGGTATGCAGCTGTCAGTTTTTAAAGACAATATCCTGAACTCAAGACTGTTTAGCACCTCTGCTTTCTATCATTTTCCTTCCACAAGTTTTGATGTGACTGATAATATCTTCTTTTACATCGTCCTGAATACAACAGCTAAGAACTAGTCACCATGCCTCCTTTACTTTCTGTTTGCAGGTAAGAGGGTTTTCCCTCTCTCCTTTGTTATAGTTAAAAATGAAGTTCCCTGCAATATTGTGATTATTTTGTTTTTGTTGAATTAATCCTTTTACAAAATTGGCATTGAGGAAAATCATAAGAATGACAATTTATGGGGAAATTGAAAATCTGAATGCATAAAATTAAGATTGTCAACAATATATTGACAGATCAGACCACTCTTCTTTGCACATGAGATTGGAGTAAGACCTCTGGCCTGATATTTCCTGTTGTAAGAGAAGAGGAAGCTCAGAGTTATAGGTCACCAGCCATCTTAATGCTCATTTCCCCTCCATTCTCATCTAAGCTTATAAACTTTGATATTTATCATCAGTCATATTTCCAAAGTGGTGGAACGCTTCCATAGCTTGGATTCTTTGAATAATCTTTTTGTTTCCTTTGTAATTCTATTTCTTTTGTTAGATCAAACCAGACTTTTTACTTAGATGGCTACAGTGGTGTCAACCTGTAACACTGTTAAATCCTCATGAAACCTCAGTTGCCTTTAATGCCTCTTTCTGGAGTTACATATATACAGTGATGTATATTGATGTGTCTTTCTTTGTACTTGTTACAAACTTCAGGAAGTCGATGGTAGCTGGATAAAAATAGATTGCATTCTCCTGACTTGAAATGAATGTCACTAGCTTTTAGCAAGAAGCAAGGTTTATTTGAGAGTTCCTTTTATTGGACCAACTGCATAGTGGGGAGTGATGTTAAGCAAGCTTTCAGGCTCAAAGTACTTCCCCAGTTCTAGGAAAGAAGCAGATACAGTCAAATGTACAATATAAAGCTAAATTCCAGATACCTGGTGTTTAGGTTTTACCTAGCATTTAGCTTAGGCACTTTGAGCCTGAAAGCTTGTCTAACATCTCTCCCAACTGTGCAGCTGGTCCAATAAAATAAATCATTGAACAAATCTTCTTGTTTATTGTATGTTTCCTGGATCATCATGGTATACCACCACTGCCTGTACTGCTGACTTTCAGATAGTTCTCAAACTTAGGGGTGGCCAACCTGTGGCACAAGTGGCATTGGCAGCTTCCGCATGTGACACATGATAGATCAAGGAGGGGACAGGCAGCAGAGCAGTAGATTGAACAGGAAGCAAAAGGCAAAGCAGCAGATTGGGTAGGGAACAGAAAACTGAGCAGGAGGTTGGGCAGGGAGCATAGACTACAGAGCAAAAGCAGAGCAGCAGATTGGGCAGAGGAAAGGGATCAGAGCCATGCTAAATGAGTGTGGGACTAATTTGTGACATACCTGCCAAAAAGGTTGGCACCCACTACTCATATTGAGCACCTACACAGGTGCTAAACACCTGCTCTGATGAACGCAAATTAGCATGCTTCAGAGCAGACTCAATTGAGCCAATTAGCACGCTCCAGCAGATCCAGCAGCATTGGTGTCTCATGTTTTCAGCATTCTTGCTCTTCAAAATGGTGGGGGGGAGGGGGCTCTTTACAGCTCGTTGAATGAGCTTTAGGTAAAGCGCCCCCACAGCCATTTTGAAGTGTGGAATGCTGAATACACAAGAAGCTGCGGGCGCTTTAATTAGAGCTGCTCCTAAGAGTTCCTCTAATTTAAAGCACCTCACTTCACCCTGGAGCAAATGTTAACATGGATGTTCCAGATTAAGCCTTACAGCCTTTCATTGCTATATTTTCCTATTTCTTGCTTCTTTTTTTTAAAAATAGTCTTTTCATTTATGGATTTTCAGTCCGAGTTGGATGTTCCTATTTGGTTTCCAGTTAATTTCAAAATGATGTACAAATTTGAAAAATTTGGGGAAACCCATAACTTTTGAAGAGACAGCTGTTGGCTGAGGGATTTTCCAAGAGAGAAAACAAAACCAGGCTCTTCTTGACCCTGACAGTATTCATTTTTCTCTAAACCCCACCACATATCCTGCCAAGGCAGTTGTGCCTCAGTATTGTTTTATAGGATTCTTTCTAGCGGTGCAACGGCTCCAGTTTTTGGTAGTGCTTTGTGCATTAAAAACAGGCAAGATGCAGCTTATACATTATATTCATCCACTCTCAACTGAGTAATCCCTGTTTGTCACTAAAAGTCTTAGCTCATTTTGAACTAATGACAAAGAAAGGAAGGGTTTTGAGTCTCAATTCCTGAAGTCACAATCCCAAAAATCATGAAGGAAGGAATTAGTTGATTGCTTTGATTATTGTTTCCTTCTACTTTGTAGCAATAATGAGTTCAACTGTATTGTCCTGAATATAACGGCTAAGAACTAGTCCCCATATCTCCTTTACTTTCTGTTTGCAGGTAAGAGGGTTTTCCCCCTCTCCTTTGTTATAGTTAAAAATGAAGTTCCCTGCAATGTTGTGATTAGTTTTGTTTTTGTTGAATGAATCAATCCTTTTACAAAATTGGCATTGAGGAAAATCATAGGAATGACAATTTATGGGGAAATTGAAAAGCTGAATGCAGAAAATTAGGATTGTCAACAGTATATTGACAGATCAGACCATTCTTTCTTTGCAAATGAGATTGTAGATAAAGACAAATAAATCAATTTCCACTGTCTCTCTCTCCTTTCTAAGGAATTTATTATGGTCTCAGAAACCAGGGGATAAAGGTTTAGAAGGCCTGCAAAGATCTTAAGGCTGCATACAGTAAAATATAGTACAACGAGAAAGTGAAGCTATCACTGTGAAACTGTGTGGGGGGACAGTGATAAAAGGACTCCTTGGATATTGCTTATTCAGAAGTGTCCTACAGGACATGTTGTGACATGGGTTATTTTATGATATTAATAAAGA